GGACACGTGTTACGTATGCCGAACGACCGACTGCGTCGACGTGCGATGTTCAGTGGTATAGGAGTAGGTTGGAAGAAAGCTAGGGGCGGCCAAACCAAAACATGGCACACGTCCATGAAGTCACTGACAAGTGGACTGAGTCATGTTGGTAGGTGTAGACTACCTGATTGGGGACCGCGAGATGATAGCAACCGATGGTTAGAGACCCTGAATGACATGGCTCAAAATCGTTTGCAATGGCGCAGGTGCATCCACTCTTTGTGTTCTCCCAAATTTTGATCTCCTGATTCCTCTTTGTCTCTTTCTTTTCTCTTCCCAAATTTATTTCACTGGATTATACTCTTTGAATAACATCTCCAAACCCTAATTTTCCTGATTACTGCTTATACTCTTACTACCTCCACCACTATAGGATTTGAATCGACAACTGCATTTCTGTGCTAATGTGGTATTGCAACTCGAGCTGACGTACGAACGTACGACGTTCTACGTTGTGACTGAATGTCTGATATGAAATGAGAATTAGTAGATAAATTAACTGGTGCATTTTTGCTTTGTTTTATTAGGCAGGCTGATTGATCGAGTCAGATCCAAATATAAGAACTGAATAAAACAGATAGATGTACATTGTTTTTATCCGCAAATTATTTGGCAAAAAGGATAAATGGACTTCACTTATATTTGTTTGAAACCACGAACCTACTTAAGTTGGACAACCACTGAAAACATGAGACTAATTAATCCACCATTTTGCACAATCATCTCCGTCTTCGGTGGGTATCTTTCGCTCATCGGTTACGCTTAAACTCAACTATGATGACTTCTTAACTCAGATTGGTTTGTGATCTCAAGAAACCTCAATAGTCTCCGCAGCCCTATGAATAATTTACTTATTAATCAATAGTTCCCATAGTTCAGCTAGTAGAAGTCCATGTCGTCTATTTAGAGTGTTCAGATATCCCCGCATTTATGTAGAGGTTCAGCTGTCGTTCTTTCGTTTGAGACAAATAATTTACAAGGTAAATCAAATATGGCAACGACTCATATGAGTTTAGGTTGACCTCATACTTACTTAAAGGCTGTTCAGATAACGCGTGAAACAATATGTTAACTCCGCCTGTAGAGCTTCTAGGGCTACTATCCGTCCCAAGCCAGGGTAACCAAGGAGGTTAGGGCATGGTGCCAGTAACCCCATCCTGTAGAAAACAACCTTACTAAAACTCGCTAACCAGAATATACAATTTAAGCCGTTTAAACTCGGTTCTTCGAGTTGAAGGATGTTCATTCGGAAGAGTTATGACGCCTCATAGTGAAAACCGAGATTCTCCTGAAGTCATGAGGTCGATCTCCCTTCAGACAACCAGAGCAACAACCAGTGTGAGTACATGGAATGTCCGGACAATGTGAGAGAACAGGAGGACCAATCTAATAGCTGTGAAAATGAGGAGATACAACTTGGCAGTTATCAGAATCAGCGAAAACCATTGGACCGAAGCTGGACAGATAAGATTAGATTCGGTTAAGATGCTGCTGTATTTGGGACACGAGGACAGAAATGCCCCACACACTCAGGGAGTTGCTCTGATACTGTCCAAATGAAGACACTTATAGGATGGGAATCTCATGAACCCAGAATCATCAAAACATCCTTCTAAACAAAGAAGTAAGGGATCACAGTGAGTGTTACCCAATGTTATACATCCACCAATAACAGCAATGACGATGACAAACATCCGTTTTACGACAGTCTACAATCGATCATAGCGAAACAATCAGGAAAGAAGCTGATCATACTGATGATAGACATAAACGCCAGGGTCGTAATGGACAACACCGGGTATTAATATATCATGGGACGATACGGGCTGACTGGGAGAAAGGAACGAGAATGGCGAAAGATTTGCGACTACAACTATCATTTAAAAAAACATATAGATATATATAAAACAGTTATCTACGCAAGATTCGCAATGTCCGTTGACAGGATACCATCAGCAACAGTCTACTGGAGGATAGAACAATCCAGCTTTCAGTTGAAGAAGATACTAGGAAAAGACACTGGAAGTGGATAGGACACACGTTGCGGACATCACCAAACTGCGACACGAAGCCACCGCTAGCTTCCTGAAGGGAAATGGAAAAGAGAAATACCAAGAAACACATCGCGTCGGGAATAGAAAGCAGACATGAAAGGTAAAAGTAGCAACCGAAAGCGACTGGTTAGAACTGGTCAGGACAGAGTTCGATGGAGAATGTTGATAAGCGGCCTGCGATCCTCCACTGAGGATAAAAGGCGTAAGTAAGTAAGTAAATTTCTATGTAAACTGTTTTATCCATTTGTTTTTATTTATATTAGAGATAAATTTAGTAGCAACAACGTTTAAAATTCTAATAAAAATTAGTCAACTTAGCATAGTAATGTTAATAATTTATTTATTTATCTATAATAATGTTAAATGTCTTTGGATTCTTAATTTGACCATACAGGTAGTGATAAGGTATCACCAATTAATCAGTCGAAAATGAACATTTTTAACCGATTTCCAAAGATTTATACAACACAATAAGCATTTTCTTATTTCAAATACAGAAACCTACTAAAAATATAAACTGCTAACACCATAGGGTAGTCGTTTATTTACTATCATGGAAGTACCCTAGTAGCATACACCAAAAGTGACTCATTTATACTATAAAATATTATAGTCTCAATGTTTTGGAACTATTTGGCTAAGGTCTTGACCGAACTACTTTTTTAGAACCAAGCAAAACAAAACATTTCTCATTTTTCTGAAGACTGTTTAAAAATATTATAATCAAATAATTTGACGCATATGTCAAATGTCTGTATAAAGTACCTGGTTTCGTTTTCTAAATTCTAGATTGGTATTCTCTGTCGACAAATCCAAAGCCAGTTAATGATTTATTGCTTTTATTGTACTGCAAAATTACAAATCAAAAAATTAGTTCCTTGCAACACAAAATTATTTCAGTGTATTACAGACAAGAATGTCATGCACAAATGTACATAAGTTTATGTGATCTTTTTCGTCCAAATGTCGTTAGTCCAGTTCCCAAAGTGTCTCTGGACCTCTTTTCAAAACTTGTCTGTTAAATTTACGATGGCGTATTCTATCGTAAATATTTCTCTTCACTGCCATAGGTTCGTAAAGAGCTGATAAATCATCGACCAGTAAATCGTCATCATTATGATTGTGTGACTGAACTGTTCCCATGAAAACAAGGCAGGCTAATGTAAAGAGAACTGATAGCCCCACCATTATGGGATGGAAATTATAATATTTCTAAAAACATTAAGCAAACGAGCATTAATGGATTTTATGATGAATTGAAAAAATCGTCTTCACGATAAAAATATTGATTGTAATTTGTAAGTAAATGGACGAAGTCTTACTTCTAAAAAATTGACCCCCACAGGACGGAAAATAATTTAAGATGCAATGGGACGTAAGTTAGTTGTCATACACCACACCTAAAACGGTAATAGTATCAGTTATGAACGAGAGCCTAGCTCATTTTGTGTTCTACGTTGTTCAATTTGACGATTAACTTTAGACAAAATATTGTACAGATCAAGATGCTTATAAGTCAAACATAACTAATTTAAACTGAACAAAGCCTCCTTTCATTTATAACTTATTTCCATTTGTTTGAGTAGTTTAGTGAAGTGAGAATCTACCAGTTATACAGTGTAGTAGGTGTATGGATTAAATGGGAAGATGCGAAAAATCTACATTTTTGTAGATGAGTGCTATAGATATTAGTTGGAGTTCGTAGTATAAATGATTTAGAGTAGAAGATTTTCTAGATGTTTGTACCACTCTATATAAGCAGAATTTACTTAAAAACCACCAAGTAGAATCAAAATAAAGGAGTATGAATAAGTAGGCCTAAATGTTTATATATATTTACATGCTTCTATGGAACAAAGGATATTATAATGTTTTACAATTAAATCTTCATATTGCCCAAATTAATATGGAGAGTAATAAGGTCTGCTTATTTACTGAAACAAATTTTTTTATGTCAAGCTAATAACTTATGATAAAACTTTGCTTGTTCGTCATCGTAGGACATTCTTTTGGTCATTTTTGCTAAACATCACAATATTTTACACTCACAATCAACCCATTAGTAAGTCGAAACAAAAGCCAAACATAATTCAATTGATTCTATGAAGATGAAATTTGTTCAACATTCTAAGTGAAAAGTAAGTTGAGAGAACTGGTTTCAAAAGTTGCATTACATAAAAACAATTACTGCTCATGACTTAATCTACTGTAGCCAATCAAATCAAAACGTAAATATAGGATGTTAGCAAAAATATTCATTTTGAGTACATAATATCTCAACTTAACCGAATAAACCACCACAAATATTTTCCTCTATACCTTTTGGATCAAGTATTTCATAAATACACTGTAATAGCCATTTTATGATACTCGTAATAGTAGTTTCATCATTTGCAAGTATACTGTGTGATTTATCATAACAGAAGCAAACAGAATATTTTTCTTCTAGTTAGAACTTTCATAAATCCCAGTAGATTTCCACCGCATTTTGACTTCGTTTATCTATGGTATACGTAGTCACATCATTCAACCAAAATACATATTCATTGTTGGATTTAAAATAGATGGATGTAAATATACTAATCTTCATATAAGGGTATTTCACTAATATTTGAACGTTCATCACATTGAGGCCAGCGTTTTGATGAAAAGAAATATTTAGCAGTTCATAGTTAGACATATTTTCTCCAAGCCTTAGACAATAAGATTTTTTTAATAACGATGATATAGTAGAAATTCAGTAGTGTTTGAAGTAAGCATTTTAAAAACGCTTATCAGATGAGACCAAAATTTATCTTTCATGAGATTGAGACTTACAGAGTATGTGACTAACAGGAGCACGAAAATGAAATACATTGAATGGTAACTTCAACTTGCATACAGAATTATGTTTTAACTACCTCACTATCTAAAGACCCATTTCTTACAATTGATTATTATTTAATAGTTATTTGGCGAACGAAACTATTCACTTCACTTAACCTTGAAAACGTAGTCCCACTTTTTCCACATACTACCTAGAATTCTAAGTGTAAAATATAATATCACCAGAAAAATACGAATATCACAGAGTAAAAGTTATCACATACCAAAGCTTATCATAAATGACAGATTAAAAACGCACTGCATGAACTAAATCATGTTACACATATTATTTTTTAAGGAGGGTTATTGAGTGACTTCGTTATTTTTAACAAAAATGATGTTCAGATCTTTATGCTGACTTTCAAGTTTATCTAGTCAGCAAGAATGTCTTCATGGAAAACTGATTATTTCGATTCACTACGCTTGACTATTTCTTTCAATTCCTGTGCTATCAACTTATTCCGTTTTTTAGGGTAATTACTCTGGTGTTAAGAATAACTTCAAACAAGTAAAGCAAAAATATTTAACTGAATAGTCTTGCTTACTTTTAGTTATTATCACTTGATCCGGAATAGGAACAACCACAAAAATTATTTATCTCAGTAGTTTTATAGTGAATTAAAACCGATTATCTTAAATCTGATTGGTCCTTTCAGTATTTTTTCCCCGTCCATTTCAACTCTGTAATTTACGTGGATCACGTATAATTTTATCAAACACCGGCTAATTCCAATTGATTCGGAAACATTTTTCAATTTAACCAATTACCAGTTAACTATTGTTTGATTTTGAGATTGGATACTATCATGAACCATCTAAATTTTCAACTGGTAATATCAACCAAGCTAATTGTTAGCTACTTGAGGAATCTAAGCTGATTCACACGTCTGATAGGGATAAATCAAAGTGATCAAAAACCTGACCGAATGATTGTAGTTTAACTACACATGATCTGGAATTAATTCTATTTAGAAAAAATGTTGAATACTGTGAAAATGACTGCATTTGTCATTCACATACCAGACAGAAATGAAAATCTATTAACAGAGTTGAAGCGAAATTTACATTATAAGTTATAAAAATAATTTTTAGGATAACACTACAAAAGGTACTGTAAAACAGTTAAGAGGAATTCTAACACTATTTATGTGCTGGTTGATGACCTGCTATTGTGAAAGTATCACAACATTTAAAGAAATCATCTTCCTTTCTAAAAGACTAAGTCTAAATACATTTGTTTTGAAAAAAAACCGGTTTGGAGGTTAAAAATTCCGATATCCATGTTTTGTAAATCAAGAACACCATAGGTGGATAAATGGTGTTAGAAGTCAAATTTAAAAATTCCTTCTGAAATTGCATTATCCAAATAATTTTAGATTGTGTAGTTGTTGTAAAGACGAAGAACGTTAGTCGTGCAAGCAGAAGTGCTATACATTGTCAACTTTTCTTATATTAAACTACTTATTATTTCTAGATATGGAATCAGCTTTTGGGATAGATTCGTCACATATTAATATCCACAGATAAGACTGTGTAGCACCCTTGTCTTGTGAGTAAACGCAATCTTATAAGTACTAATAAGAGAATAAATGGTACAACAGAGTTATATTTTAATTGGATCTAAAGTGTTTTGGGATGACTAGTGTAATGACCTATGACGTAAAACTTGGCCTTCTTCTAATTAAAAATCCGTTCGTAGTGAGTAGTTATTAGTATATGTAGTTAATATCCTAACGAACTTGGATTTCCTCGAAAATTTCGGAAATTTTTAGCAGTTAACTCGAGTTATAAATATACCTGATAATTAAGTCCACACTGATAATTAGTTTCCTTGGTTTGCAATTCATAATGTAAAATGTAATTTTACTAAATTCTTGTTCTGATCCACTTGCCTCTGAGTTTTTGTCATAATGGCATAAATCTAAATAAGTTTAAATGTTATAATATCTATATCATCAAGATATGAATAAAGTCTAATAATTAAGGCGTGTTATTTTTGTTCGAATGAATGTGATCCAGATCAACTTCAGTAAATATACACTCTAACTCAGTTCTAAGTGCATTTCACGTATCACACACCAAAATATAAAAGCATTACTTCTGATTTTAGAGTCACTAACCATCAAATACATTGGATATAGTGCGTCATCGGCGAGACCATAGTTTATAAACGAATCAATTAAACTAATGACAGCAAGTCTTTCATTTTGGCAAAAAATTCATTCAGCCCTATAGTTAAATTGCTTTTTGGCATTATAGAGTATCAGTTTGTGATGACAAGTCTTACGTTAATTCATGACCTTGGATTCTAACTTAAAATCCCAGTCGTATTTCTTCATATTAATTTATAACCCTCTTTGGATCCAGATAAGCAGGTGGGTTGTCTCAAGATCACTTTAGCATCAATCAAAGACCGTTCATAAATTATAGTACCACCTTAATTTTGTGTTCAGCTTTCTGTACTTTTACTAACTTCGCTTTTTCTTGATGCGCTAATTAAAAACCACCCAATCAATTCTTCTTCGGTTTATTTATAGATTTCCAATTGATAAGTTTGTTATTACCATCAACAATGCTGTTAAACAAACTCCAGTAGGATTTGTAGACACATCTATTTTACAATATTCATAAACAATTTTTTTCAGAATTTATACTTGTTGTTAGAGATAAATATATGTTAGTCTTTATTTGGCAGTATTACATTGACTCTTCACTATATATTGAGGAGATTTTTCCTTACCTAATCTTCCCCACCCACCTGAGCTACAAATCTTCTCCACCACTTCTTCATGGGTTATGTCATTGTTTCTAGAGTTCTGCACACTATTGAGACATCATAAAATAACCAACGGTTGTTTTGTAAGCTACAATTATTTTATTTAATAGTCTACGAAGCAAGAAATAGAACTTATTTAATTTCTTAGATAGATTTAAGTTAAAGTCCGTGAAACAAAATAAAGTAAATTCATGTATTACATACACTCCACATTCGTTTACTTTTTAAATCCTGTTTCTATTTTTACTTAGAAAAATCAAAAGTTAGTTGAAAATATGACTGTATAACATGTCTTTTATGGAATTCAATGTTAGTCATAGTCGGAAGATTTTTTTCAATTAAACCTTCATTTAAAATTAAAATACCCAGACATAATTCCATAATTGTAAATATAATCACTTTTATAATTTGTTTTTTTACTTTTCAATTTGCGTCCATATTATTATTTTCATGATACTTATCTCCCGACAACTATCTTTTTATAAGAAACGGTTTAAAAGCTACCTTTTAAAATAAAACACTTTTATAGAATAGTTCAAATGTGATAAACATTTATCGAGTAATATTTCCTAAATCAACATAAACGTTTTCAATTATTAAGAGTAGTAGAATTGCTTTGTTTAAATTTTTGTACTTTCTTCTAAGGAACTTGTTTGGTCGCAATTTTTGTAAATAATTTATGGGATATATTCAAAATTATTCCACCCAAGCATGACATGTCGCAAAAAAAAGAAACTAGAAGTCTATAAATTCACATATATATATATATATATATATATATATATATATATATATGATAAAGAATCATGAATTACAAAACACGCTGTAGTTCATAGTTGTTATTACATCGGGTGATTATGTCAATTATGTTAAACATTCATCAGAAATCGGCATATCTCAAGAGAATGATTTGTGAAGCGCCAAAAGAGATAAAAATCCATTCTTATGATTTCTGAAACTTACCTATTGAATATAAATACTACCAAATCAACGTCTAAACCAAACGATATCAAGCTTGTCGTATTATTATTATAATACTGATTCGTCACTACGTTAATTTAAAAAGTGGATGGTCAGACTTCGTTTAATATGTTCATCTACTTATTCATTGGAAGTTACGATAAAAGTAAAGATAATCATTTCAATAATTTAACCATTCAGCAGTCAATTTGACATACTCATTCTATTATCGGCCAGTTTAAAAATAAAAGTCACAGATATAAAACACAAACAAACTTTATACAATAATGTGACAGGTGATTTTGCAACATAAATATTGCAAACAGCGGGCACTCCTAAAATTGACTCTATCAAGTGAAGAAAATAACTCCCAAGAGTTAGACGCTTCTTGAAAAACACAAAATTCATCGAAGGAATCTCTTTTAATCAAGTTATACAGTCTATATATGTGATTCAATCAATTTAATCATACACAAATGTTAGGTATTATAGCAAATCAAGCGTATGTTATTGGTTTTTAATGTGAAGCAGTAATAATAATAAATCTAGATCCATATTTTAAAACTGTACTACATCTTTTTAGTTCTTCTATCATGATTTTCGCTTTTTCTCAAGGGGCACAAAAATTTCAAGCTGAAAATACTATTAGTAATTTCTTTAAAATTTTGTCTAACCAAAGTGATTAGTTCAACATTAACTGGTATTAGAACAGTCATCTTGATATGGTGTTATCAAAATAAGTTAAATGCCTTCTGGTGAGAGTTATATCGATATAAGAATATGGTTCGCGTCATTAAGTGACTTCAGGAATATAATTAAAAACCATGATCTATATAACTCATTACTATTGATAATCGGTAAGTGAAATAAAAATATATCCATCGTATTCTATAAATACTGTCTCCATTGTATTATCTAATCTTTATGTTTTAAGGACAAATGACAATAAACAGGATTCTAAATTTTTAAAACTTATGTTCTCAAAAATGTTCGTTTCTCTCAGACTCCTTAACTAAATAATAAGTTCAGTTCAATTAATAAAATTAAGTCCTTAAAGTTTAAAGTATCTGAAAGCATTTACAAAAACGTTAATGATTTTATGCTGAAATATATTTTTAATGCCTGATAACATTTAGAGCTTGCTGATATCACGAATTAAGCTAATTTTAAAATGTGAAAAGGTAAAAGAAATGTGGCTTGTAAACCATCAGACGAATTGTCAAACTGCTCATCATGAATGGATGGATGGTCCATATAGATAGATTTTAAATATATATTTTTGAATAAACACAACTTGTCTACTAACAATTTCGTGTGGGTGACTAGAAATGACAATAATCATGTGTTTTAAAATTGTTTGTGAAAAAGCTCAACTGCGCTTAGAAACTATTTTAGTTATTGGCGAATATATGAATAGTAAACTGGGTCGACTGAAGTGATTTGTTGTCATGTAGTCAATCACAAACGTCTAAACAGATCTATATTAAAACATAAAATTCAAAGCAATGAATTCCCTGTTAACAAAATGAGATAGTATTTTTTTAACAAGCAATTCAACTTGAACGACAAGACGGATTTAACTTCAGGTAGCTGATAGTAATTGCAAGTTAAATGCGATGGTCGAGGACAACGATTGGACTCTTACTAACTATTTCATCTAACACTTCAAAACAAGCATAAGCAGCTATCCACTCTTTGTTTGGCCTCCAAGTCTGAGTAAGCGTTGTCACCTTCAAATCACCATAACATAACAAAATGGATTTGTATGAACACCCGGAGCTGCCTTATTTCATTCTAACTATTATTAGAAAATTTCGAACAGACTGATAATATTT